GGAAGGTTCGTGAACCCGGGCCTTTATATCAATTGGCCCACGTCGTTGTAGGGGCTAACCACGCTGAAATCTTTTTTGACTTGAGTGGTTGAAGTTAGTTGATTTTATCCATTCTTTTTGAAGCGATTTTTTTGTACCTTCTTGCACAAAGTACTATGCTACCCCGCAGGGAATACACGTCACTGGAAACCCCGCCCCAGAGGGCCACGCCTATTTCTGCCACGAATAGGTTACACTAACATAACACACATTACACTCCAGAAATTCTATTTTCATTAATATTTTACAACTTCACTATGCCACATACATACACAGTTGATTCTTTCTTTCGCTTTTCGAAAGTTTTGCGCTCCTTTCTGTTGTAGTCATTATCTCATTTTTTCTGCTTTGTTTTGCCGTTATGGTGCCAGCTTGGGATTATAGCGGACTGGATTACTCACTGCTTCTGACTTTTCGTGCACCTAAGTGCTTGTGTTGGAGAGTCTAGAGCGCCTGCAAGCCAATGAGGTTGTCGCCTTGTTACTTCTCTCCAGCGTTGTCAGTTTCAGGTGGGGTCTTCCTTTGGAACGAGGCACCTTACCCAACTGGTGTTAATAGTTGTTACGTATTTTTATTGTGTTTTAGCTATGCTTGTATGCCCTTCTAATAGTCTAATACAAGTCCGACTTTCGCAACTTTTCAGTTTTTCTTCTTTTAGCAATCAAAACCAGCTCCCTATTAAGCCCCACTTGCATCATGTTGGGTTTAATTGGTGAATGAGTATTCTGCTAGGTTTTGCTTTACTAATTTCTTGGGCACACTATTAGAGTGTAGAAAATAAATAAATAAATAAATAAATTGATAAATAAATAAATAGATAAATAAACAAACAAATAAGATGGGTGAACTTTTATAATGATACACTTGACTCCGCTACTCCAATGTACTCCGGTTACCTTCTGTGTGGAAGCAGTGGTCATTTTTTGACTCATCAATCAAGACCACCCATGAGGTGTTTGTATTTTCAGCGGGTCGGTACGCATGAATGTGTGTGGATAACGCTACCTTTGAAGCGATTCCGGTTCGATTACTCATCGTCCACTTCGCCTTCCGTCCGGAAAGGGATCGGCCCGTTCATATTCTGACCAAACAACATAGCTGGTCTGCTCAGTGTATACTTCAGCGGTTCAGCTAGTTTATGACTCATTAGTGGCTGCTTAGCTGAACAAAAAAAAACAAATGTGCCAATAGATATTTATTGGTTACTAAGAAAACTACATTCGAAGCTTTCAAATATTCTATATACATAAATACAGATGTATTAGAAGATTCTAGAAGCAATTGGGTTGTTTGTTTACACATTAAAATTACATTCAAAAATTCTCTAAAAGCGAAATGTTGCAACCAAATGTTGAAATTCTACTTACAGTTAATTAAGCATCATTCGCATCCTCATGTCCCAAGGAGGAGGGCCAGGTTACTTGAGGGAACTTTATCACGTAACTAAGGAACTGCACGACTTTGTGAGCGCCCTTTCAGTTCTACGTCGTGAAAATCAAAACTTGGAGGACTGTTCTGAGGGAGAGACTGTATATTTCGATGAATTCTAAAGCACTGCAACATGGAGATCTTCTTTGATTACTGCCAAGTGCCTGAAAAATAAAATAGGTCCTGAATGCAAGCTACCGGCATGAAGGTATGCTGCGCACTAGTGGCATGGAAGGAGCAGGATCCGCGATTGAAGCCCACAATTACCGCCCTTCATTCTAAGACGGCAAGTAGAAATTTGCCGTCGGACACACGTTCGGCAATGAGCAGTTTAAGTTCGTCAGCAGTTCAGCAAGTTCGTCGACGTTGTCATTTGTCATAGAAACTCCACCCATCTGTTGCGGCACTACCCACGGACAAGCACTATAAGCGAATGAGCCAATTTCATCGTCTCGCTAGACTTTCTGTTCTCTCATTCTAGGAGCCGAGTTCCTTAGTCGCGCCCGTACAGTTCCCTCCTCTCTTTGTATGCTCCAAATCGAAGACAGAAAAATCATCAAAAATAAAATGCGAAAAAGAGGGCCTTGTTAGTAGCGCTTTTTCCGGATAGATCAATTAGCACCTGAAAACTCCTACTTCAACTCCACTACATGAGAAATCCCGAAACTTATTAGAGTAAATGTTTTGGAGGACCAATATCGCACAACCGAATGCTCGTCCTTGGGAAGAGTGAGCCTTATCAGTAGATAGGGGTATCTTTACGGTTACACAGAGCTTCGCTCCCCCATGGTGGTGTTCAAATCACTTTTTTTACTTGGGCTTCTTCTACTAAACGAAAATTCACTGCGAATGCCGCCTCACAGTTTTAACACCCATTTTGATGAATGTAATGAATTCCAACTGTAGTAAATGACAGGTTTTCTCGTTACCAACAACGACATGTGTACAGCCATAACTCTAATGATTTTGGTACTCGATCTGCCTTCTGGAACGTGATGCATCGCCGTATGAGTCGTTTTGAGCGTCAGAATGGCGAGAAGTAGATGGTTCCACTGAAAATGTTACCATGATTATAATATCCGATAAAGCTTTACTTGTAATAATGCAGCGGCTCTAGTCGTAAAAGATTCTGTTCAATAAGTGGACTGAACAGTGATAAATTTCGCTGAAATACCGTGATAGTAATAGTTTTCGTGACGAGTGCTAAGTGCTGCTGCAATTGGCAGATCGTTTGTGACAGCCAATCACAGATCACATTCACGGCATATTCCACCTCCTACAACGGAAATCTAACCTCTGCTTCCACTATTAGCCCTTCGTCGAATATTGTAGTCCCGTTTAGCCTCTCGAGCTGCCGCATTGAAGGATTTACCGATTCCAAGTTGTCGTAGACCTTGAAATATTTTCATCTAAGGCTAAATACGCTTATTACTAGATAGTATCCCAGTGACTCCACTACAAAAAAAAAACAAATAAAATATATAAATCCTACTCGGACCTGGCATGTGTCCACTGTACCCTGCGGCCGGTATATTGTCAAGATCGTCTTCTGGCTCCTGGAAAAAAAATATTTTGTTTGTTGTTATGTCAAGCCCAAATTCCGACGGAGATTAATCGTTTGGGACTCCCTGTTCAGACTAGCCAAGTTTTCCCGCAAGATGAGTGAAAACCATCGTTGTGACCGAAAACATAATCAAAACTATTCCAGACCGGAAGATGAATTGCTGATCAACGCGCGAACCTACAAACCCACCCGTCAAACGGAGGTGGAAGCTGCTCGTGTACTACCAACGATCTTATAAAACATGGAAGTGAAGGCAGTCGCTATCTATAGAAGAAGAAGGAATTCCTCGGTCAAGTCTACGGAGTGTGAACCATCTGGAACTTTTGTATGCTGCCCCATCTTCAAAGACCATTTTGTTGCGAACGAAACGCGTGATGAGTACAGTCCGTTCGCCGATGATGCTGGGGCGTGTCGGGAGTGCGGGCTCGGTTTGATGACGCGGCGCGAACCGGTTCTCCATCAATTCCTGAACGACAACACTTGACCCGGTGGAAACGGGCTGGAGCGGAGCCAAACCCAGCCTTCCTGATACGCCCTAGCATCCGCAGCAAACAAGACTAGAGCAGTTTCTCACAGGATTTCCAACCGATTGCGTCAGCCTACGCAGTACGCCCTGGTGTCTGTCGATAGAAGTAACCATTCGATGGCCAACGTTCGACCTAATCGCCGCTGTCAAGGGCCTTAAGTGGCTCAACGAGCGTCCATTTGGTAAAAATGTTGGGTAAAAGGAACATTGTACTCCATGTCAAGGTTTCTAGGGAGATCAGTAGACTATTAAAGGCAGTGCTCATAAAGCTATTAGTTATGTACGTGGGATCCTGGTAGAAAAAGGCTCGATTCCCATTCCAAAGTACCAGAAGTCTCACCTCATTGGTCTTCAACCTGGAACATATATGGCAGGGAGTGCGGCTACCTAACGCAGGACTTTTGACTACAGCGAAGTACCTTTGATTTGACTCCAACACTTTTCGGCTTCCTTCAAGGAGCTTGAAAGTAGAGAACTTTCCCGAAGAATGAATTTGTTGTAAAAACATCTCCACCAGATTGGTGCTCAGCGCTATCTCACAAAAAGCTGCCAACTGTTACGCAGACTTTGCACAGAAAAAAGTGGAGTCTTGCATTGAAAATTCGATCAATGGTCTCACAATGTCATTCACCTTCATTAGCAACTAGAAGATATTCCCGTTGTTGTGCTCTATTGATTTTTTTGAATTATCATCTTTTTAAAACCAGGTACTAACGAACTGATGACAGTGTGACCCACCAGTGGCTCACGACTTTTCGGGGTACTTTTTGACTGGTGACCGCTCGTTTCTTGTAGATTTTTTTTGTCTTCAATTCGGTCATGGTAGATGAATGTCCAGCAACAGCAATCAAGAGAAATGTTTCATGAAATATTCAAAAGAAATAAACTATGTGGAATCCAGACGACCCGAATTCCCAAAGAGTTTTCCCCCTGGAAATTTGGAGGATACCAATACTTATGACGTCAAAAATGAAACCCGTCTTCAACGCAGGCTCTTTTCGGTGAGGAGATAGCCCCGTTACACTCCTTAGCTTCAATATTCCCATTTGGAATCTCGACGATCAGAAATGAAATCTGTAGTCTCTAATTCATGAGGCTGCGTTCATAATCTGCGGCAGCGTCCACCAGCGTCTACCAACGTCCACTAGAG